TCTTTGAATGCTTAGCAAGATTTAGCATAGCTGTACATAAATAATCAAAAAGAAACATGGTGAAAAAAGTAATGACGGGATCTCCATATTATGCACTATATTTAACTTTTTACAAAACGATAATAAATTTAAATTTGAAACTGGTACAGCCATTTTAATTATGAGCGTTAGCAAACTTTTTACTGAGTGAATGATTATGCAAATTAGCATTATCTCCACTTGTATTTTTCAGTTTACCAGGGAAGTTCAAATCAAAGTAGCTCTTACAATTCTTGTTTATTTCAAGTGAAACTTTCACACAACGTTTATCAGTATTAACAAAAGAGCTAGGTGTATAGATAGTATGTTTTGTTTTCATATTACAAAGTTGTCAAGCAGGATGTGTGCCGTACATCCAATCCCGGTCAGTATTTCACACTTCGAATGTCATTGTCCGAGAATGCAAAGCTTTAAAAATAAGCCCAGACGTCCTTTTGTTCGTAGAGACGTTGTCAAAATAGTGTGAAAATCTCAAGACAAACTGACAAAAACTGTGGGAGCTAATTAATTTTCAATCTCTCTGGCCAATCAGAAAACACGAACGGAGATAATGCCCGTTTTATGAAAGAGAGGTTAATCGTCTACAAAAATGGCTATATCACGACGACATACCAAAATCCATCATACACAGACGCTTGCTATCGTCAGATAAAAAAAATAAAATAAAAATTATTTACATTACGAGGGAAACGGACATAAAATTGTCCGCGGAGTCGAAACCTTGCGTGAAAACTGTCATTGCCTCGTGTTATCAATTCCGCTGAGGGAGGGGCACAATGGATTACGTAAAGCCGATGACTTATTCATACAGTTATATAAACATAGCGATCGCCATTGGGTGGGTTGAGTCTAAATTTACCTTTCCTCAAACCTTTAAAAAAAATACTCCGTATGACGCAGTTTTTTGCGATCTCCGGTGAAATGAACAAGGGGGTTTCCGATCAAGGTAGCCAAGATGGCATTGCAGAATGCGTGATTTTTCTGTCGTGTTTAAAAACAGCATCTCGTTGCCGATTTTTCTGTAATTTCCAGGGTATTTTAATTTTTAAATAATCAAGCATTTTATGTTTGTGTATTTTGCCACTGAAAAGTTAGTTATCGATGACAGCACAGCAATGGTGTTTATCCATTGCATCGCAATGCTATCAGCACGGTGATCGTTACAGCGAAACGAAAAATGTATACTTCAGTTTTAAAATGCATTTGGAGAAAAAAATGCGTGAAAAAAACAAATATTTAACAGTATACCACTGGAAACTGTCAGGCTAGAAGTTGTAGACATGTTGCGAGATAAGGGTGAACAAGTTTACTTATCATTTACAACTGTATGTTTGTTTTTATTCCGCTTGCATGCTGGAAGCGTCTACGTCTTGTCTGTTGTTTTTTGTAGTTTGCGAGGCTAGTTGATCGCGCTTGAGGTAAGTTAAACAGGGTCGGGGACAGGAAGTTACACATCGCCGCACCGTAACTGGGGCCAGAAACTCGTTTACATATAACATCAACAGTGACTTGTCAATCAAAGAGCAACGTAAACAAACTTTCGAGACTTTTAATCACATACGTGCCTCGGTTCCCTATATTTTAAAATCGATTTTTGAGTATGTGTCATGAATTTGTTTTCGCGTATCTGTTAATTGACTTAATTAGCTGATTACGAGTGAATTGCTGTGTTATGTCTGTCATCGTTTAGGCCTATTTGAAGTTTTGGACGGAACTTGGCTCAGTGATTTGGAACTAATTACGAGATAACCGTCGCTATTCTGACTACGATTTCTGACAGTTGGTATCCGTAGTTATTAATGTAGTGAACGATTAATCAAAAGATATGACGTATTCAGTACTTAGTGTGATTGGCTTTATGATTGAAGGTTACGCCCTAGAGTCTTTTTACTGTTTTGTAATTGGTTAGAGTTTTGAAAATGAATAAAGAGAGTTTGAGTTGGTCTTGGGGAGTACAGCACGATAGACGCAGTCGAGTCCAGTCCTGGAGAGTCTTGGGACGAGTCTTGACGCAGTCTCGGGCGAGTCTTGGTTCAGCCATGCGATAGTCTTGGGGACTTTTCCCCAGGGCGCTGTGTCTTATAGAGTGCTCGATTGACCGACTAAGACAGAGCTGAAACGTATTTCGTTGTGTGTGTCTTATTTGACTGTAAAGCTTCAGTGACTTTCCTGATCCCGTACCTCAAAGAGACGCGATAGAGAGACCAGACGAGGTTCCCCCCGGACAAGTGTGGAGAACCCAGAGAGAAGATTTTCCCCCTGATATATGTTCCGGCATTGACAAAGCTCCGAAATTTTAACACTATCTAGCCAAGACTATCTGGGTACGATAAAGCAAAACAAAATATTTCACTCCGAGTGCCC